AGTTTTAAGACCGTATGTTTCTTAGTCCATGCAAAATATCGGAGAAACTGTAAAGGTTAAAACTTTAGAAACAATATTGAGTGAGCTAATGAGTTTTTTACAAAGTGAAGTTCAAAATGAACAAAAAATTGATTTAGCAACGAAAGATTTTGGTTTACGGACTGAAAATAAATATAAATCTAATAGCATTGTTGCGAAAAAATATAAAATTACCTAAGCAAGGAACTGATAAGCCCTTAGGGGCATTCGAAAGACAGAGATTTCTTGAGGTTTCTGTAAGTAAACGATGAAGGAGAGGAATTTGTGTTTCGACAAAAGAGTTTTTTTTCAACTGTAGTCCATTTCTTCTGAGTGCTACTATAAAATTTCATTTAACAAAGGCGCTGGAGAAATGATTTAGTTATAACCAGTACTCTAAATACAAAATTAAACTTACTGTATTCTATGTGGATAATTGTGTAGCTAGTGTTACCGACAAAAATGATTTGAGAGAGTTTGTATCAGACTCCGCCCTCATGGAGAAAACTAAGATTATAGACTTTAAGAAGGTTTAAGGCTTTTGATAGTACAAAAATAGTTGTCTCTGTTCTTGGTCTTCTCTGGAACTCTTCAAGACACACTAACAATCAATAAAACAATACAAAGCCTTTCAAGGAGTTGTCGGAAAGTACCGATAACTAAGATGCTTTCTATAGCTCAGAGTATATTTGACCCTGGTGGTTTTACCCATCGAGCAAAAAGACAAAAGAGGGAATCTAATCGTTATGAAAAGGAGACCAAAATTCATAAAAGTAGCCTCTTAATATGCCGGACATATCCGGAAATGCAACGGCGCCAAATTTAAATTTTCTGACACTTTATAACATATTTGTCAGAATGTGTCTTAGACGAGAAAGTTTTAATTAAATATTAAGGATAATATTGTTAAATGTGACACATTTGTTAAAGACTTCAATATACATAAGATTTCATGTGACAGTTGGGACAAACAATAACATAACCCAACTAAATTTTATTTCTTAAACAAGGAAAGAGACTATCTTTTTCCTTGTTTAATGTGGACTATCAAAATGGCACTTCCCGTCTAACAACATGTTTGCCCCCACTACCTTTACATTCACTCTTCTGTCTTTTTGCTGGATGGTTTTACCTGTCCAGTATCTCTAGTCCCCAAACTGTTACTACAGAAACTTTGTGGAAAGCGTCAGGGATGGAATGCTCCAGTCGAAAATGATACGGCTGAGGAATTTTGTAAATTGACTACTCATCTTCCTGAACTGTCGAGTATTGAGATTCCACGTTAGATTCTGGCTGGACCCATGGAAGATGGTCATTGGAGCTTGCACTCATTTTCAGATGCAAGTAAGAAAGCTTATGCGGCTGTATTATTTATGCGAGTTGTTCGGAATGATGATGTCTCATTTTTTTGTAGCAGCTAAGAGTCATGTGGCTCTTTTGAACTAGATTTTTATACCCAAACTGAAACTGTTGACAGCCACTATTGGTGTTAGACTTTATCAGTCAGTCAAAAAATAATTTTCTCAATATGTTGAATCTTATTTTTGGAGTGATTCCACTACTTTTTTTCTTGGAGTCAACGTAAGGATGACTAGTCTATTTTTAATAGAGTTCGGGACATTAGAAATTTAATCAATCCTGAGCGTTGCAACTATATACCAGGTTCTCTCAACCCTGTCGATCTTCCATCAAGAGGGTGTGGTGTTCGGCGATTGTTCGAATCCTGATGGTGGGAGGTTCCGGAATGGTTTTACAGAAACGAAAATTATTGGCCCCAAACAAAAAGTACAGGTTTAAATGGCCAGATGGATGAGAGAGTTGATCACAGAATTCTTTTGGGCAGGATGGTGGTGTGATGAAGCATGTAGGTAACGATTCGTGTGAGTCTTTTTTCTATAAACAGAGTGACCCAATCGGCCATTGGGCTTGGAGGTGACTAACACATCGAGAAAGGGAAGGGACCGATTATTTTTTACTTCCATTGTGAATTTTATACTCGGATGTTGTGAGTTAAGATGATCTAGGAAGGGAGAAAGGGTATGTTGACCATGGGGCCAGATGATAAATGTATCATCAACGTAGTGGAACCAGACTTTTGGTTTTAAGGGGGGTAACATTCTAGGGCTAAAGACTCATGAGTCGCAATTGGCAATAATTAAAAAACAGCTCCAAATTCAAGGCAAAAAAAGAAGTAGGTTTTCTTCCTAGAGGTCTACAATACCTAAAAAAGTTGTCAGCGACCTGGATTATTAAGTGTCACGAACATGGTCTATTTTTTGCTTATTTCTCTGGAGTATATATTTGATTAACATGTGTGTAATTTCTTTGTCGCTTCCTCGCTGGTTTTGCATATTGTTATGATAACAATATCTTCGGTAAATGCTGCAATTGTATATTTTCTAGGACAATAATATAACACGTATACAAAAGGTAAAGACACTTCTTTGTGGCAGCCTGCTGTAATATCTGTCAATTCCATGTATGTTTCTTCCTGTTTAATTCTGAAATATATTTCCAAGATGGAGGAGTCAATTATTTGAGAGTATCGTTTTGGTAAATGTAGTCTTAGTTTATAGTTATGGCGTCTTTGCCATACTTTATCATATACCTGAGTCACATCCTAAATTATTGATATAAGGTTGAATGCTCGAATAAATGAACTTTAAAAAATGAAGGCAAATTTCGAGCACAAATTTAATATTCAAATCTTGCCCAAGTACTTTCGCTTTCTACAGCATCATCAGGGGCATCTGCGCTTGCTGGATAGACCAAATTTGACGAAGTAAGTCTAAAATGTTAATCACAAAAAACTTTTATCATCCATTAACTTCGAGTTTTTTATCGAAGTTTATTAATTTTCTTCATTTAAAAAAACTTTTCTTGGCTTATTTCAGATTCTCCTGATGATGCTGTAGAAAGCGAAAGTACTTGGGCAAGATTTGATTATTAAATTTGTGCTCGATATTTGCCTTAATTTTTCAACGTACATCCTAGAATGTCAAAATGTCCATCATATTATCCTTCATGATCCATATTTCACATCCATATAAATAGTTATACAGTATATTTCATCATCATCATCATCAATGGCGCTACAACCCTTCGTAAGTCTTTGCCGCGGTTACTATTGCCTTCAATGTTTGTCGGTCCTGTGCTAGTAATTCCCATTGTCGCACTCCTATTTTCTCTAGATCTAGGAGTATATTTACATATAACAAATTAAATCCTTAGTTGTAAATTTTTGAAATAAGTACTCACTATACATCTAAGTTTCATAAATGCTCCTCATAAATCTAAACTTTTGTACTCCGTTCTTTGTTGACAATTAGTTGCATAGGGCCGACGTTTACTAACCACAAGCACACAAGTAAATTATCTTATTTCTTTCATTTGACAATATAATTGTCTGTTAGATTAGCACTGTAAGAAGTAAATTAGTCTCTTACTGAATAATAATAAACAACACATCAACTTATTCTGAAACTATTTCTTGTGTCATGGTATATTTTATTAGATTTTGGTGTAATAAATCACAACTATCAAATTCAATATCAAAATCAAAATTGGGAAATGATAGCGTAACTAAATTATTCCTTCCTTCAAGAAATTTTAAAAGAACTGATTTCTATTACTATCCAGTGCAAGGACAGTTTTTTTGTTATTTATATCGAATAGAGAATACTGTTAGTTTTGCGGTATGGACCCCAAAAAATATTTTATTTGAAAAGATTGATAAATATATGGAACTGTGGGAAAATATGCTACAAAAAATTTCAAGATTTTTATTATAATTTTTATTTGAAACACCTTCTGAAGAAACATTAGACATAATTCTATATTATATAGTTTCATTTTTATCATTTTAATGATCGTGATACTAATTAGATAAGATTTTTATTATAATTTTTATTTGAAACACCTTCCTGAAGAAACATTAGACATAATTCTATATTTATATCGTTTCATTTTATCAATTTTAATGATCGTGATACTAATAAAATTTTTTATGATATATAATAATAATCTTTTTTTATAATTTTTATTTTCCGTAAACTTTAATTTACATTAAACTTCAGACAGCCAATTTTTCCGTAAAAAAAATAACAAATAAATTATGTATGTACATTTGTTACATTGTAAATTTATGAATAGATTATATTACTTTGATTTGTTATTATATTTACTCAAAATACCACTAAAGAGATTTATGATCTTATTATAAGCCAAAACCTGTCACTGCAGGGGTGTCTCGGTCGCTCTAGTAAAAGGTAAACGCATTTTTGACCTGGTCTTGAAAGAGATCTAAACGAAGTTTAGAATATTACTTCATGAACAGATTTTGTTTTCGTAAAGAAAGAAATTTTTGAAATAGAGATAGCAAACTGAAATTTACCGTTAGAATTTTCGAGGATAAGCCTTAAGGCATTTCTGCCAGTCTATTTGATTTTTGTACTTGATGTCTCACTTCTATGTCCAGGTCTAAATTTAAATTTAATACATACCAAACATTTCAATAACACTAAACACGATAAAATGTTTACTTTAAACAAATGTTTTTCGGAAAATGAGAAAATAATTATATCCTTAAAAGCAGGTAGGTATCTATGACTTGCTACCCTAATAAAATCATATTTTTCTTTGAAAACCCATAATTATTAAATTTAGGTAGTAATGGAAAAGTACAGATTCGTTTATATCCAAGTTATAAAATTCCAACTAAGAGATTAAAATTTTAACTTTTATATCATTTATTTTTTAAATATGCAAAATAAATCGTGTTTAGCTTAAATATGCAATGTTGTTTTAAATGAGCAAAATATGCAGTATATGCACATACCTGCACTTTACATATATTCCGCTCTCTAATGATTACTTTTAGGTAATGAATACTCTGAAAAATACAAGGTTTAGGTTAGGTTAGGTAAAAATACAAGGTTTTTTAAGGCAATAAAATGTAACAATATAATAAACGAGGTATTTATTACAAATCTCAACCGTTTTAAAATAATTTGAGTAAAACTGAGGTCAATTTGTTGATTTCAGCAGATTCTTTTTAAAAATTTCAACTTTTTTCCATGATGCATGCAGTAAATCTAATTAATAAAATTTAGTCTAGGTTAAAAAAATTTTCTTTGTAAAACTTAAGTTCTTCTATACTTTCTTTTATATCGCTCAAAGCCCTATGTGTAAACTGTTTGCTAGGAGCTTTTTTGTATACTTCTGAATTCCATCTTCTACAGAGTTCTTTAACTGTAGAAACGTCTATTAATCTAAAAAAAAATAGTAAATCAATTAAAAGACCTTCATTAATTTCAAAACAAAGCTTCATTTGTTATTTAAATGATGTGGGTGCCGTGGCACCTACAGGCGATTTAAAAGGAACGCTGAAATGAGGTATTATTCTTCTAAAAATAAGAACACGTATGGTAGTATACGTAGTACATTGTAAACTCATATCCACTGTGGGAGAAAATTTTGGAGATCCAAAAACAGTGATTAGTAAGCCCACATACCCTATGGATGAAAATTTTAAGGATACTGTAACGAGTCCCGTCACTTCAATAATTCTTGCATCCTTTAAACAAAATCTATAAATCAATATTCAGTCGATATCTCTTAGTAATTTGTAATTTCTAAGTTTGTATTAAATAGCGACTCCAAGCCGCAGTTTTGGCAGACATGCTTATCCGACTAGTAATTAGCGCTGACTCTTGTTTTGACTTCGGGAAAAAAAAGTTGGGTTTAAAAAGTAGGTGGCCTAGAATTTATTTTTAAGAATATTTACAGTTTTTTTTTAAGAAAGTCGAAGAAAGTTTTGGTTTGTTTTTTTTTTGTTGAGTACCCCGTTTGGTTTATAGCCACTCTGAGCCGCCTACTGAAGGAGTCAAAGGGGAATTCCTTACTTTGTTCTTTTTTTCTGAAATTTATTTAAGAAGAAGATTTAAGTTGTTCCCTGGTCGGATTTGCACCTGATTCCAGGGTTGATTCTCATCTGTCTTAGCTGTTCTCTCAGAGGTCCAGATCTTACTATTCTAGGACAACTTCAAGAAACCAGCCGGAAATATCTCCCTCATTTAGAGTGTGGAACATTGTCAATCTGTATTAAGTTTTATTCATCAATTTTTTTATTTTTTTTTATATTTTTTTAACTATATTAATCTTCAAGCCCAGTCGTTCTCCTTCAGTGTTATTTTATCTATTAGTCGTTGTAGCGCTTCTTGGCTATCAGCTATTATGACTGTATCAGCAGCATAGCGAAGATCGCTAATAGTCTGTCCGTTGATTTTGATTCCATCTTCAGTGTCACTTAAGGCTCTATCGAAAATCGTTTCAGAGTAAAGATTAAAAAGGAATGGTAACAGAACACAACCCTGTCGTACACCTTTTTCGATTGAGAAATATGATGTAGATTAAAGTCCTACTCTCACAGATGCCACTTGATTCATATAAAGGTTCTTTATGATTTTACGGTCATTCTCATCTATCGAACGTTCCTGGAGCAATCTTACTAATTCTGAATGATTAACACAATCGAACGCTTTCTGGTAATCTATAAAGCATAGGAAGACATATTTTTGCTGATCTCTGCTTTTCTGAAGTAGGACAGTTAAGCTATAAAGTGCTTCTCTTATGCGAAATCCTTGTCTGAAACCGAATTGTGTGGGGCTAATGTCTCTTTCACATCTGTTGTATATTTTTGTGTGAATTATCTTTAAGAAGAGTTTTAGGACCTGGCTCAATAAGCTGATCATTCGGAATTGGTCGCAACTATTAACGTTTATGTACCAGGGATTTAACACTGTAACTAAGAGTTAGGTTGGCGAGGTGCTATGTTTTCTCGACTTTATTTTATGGAATGGAATCTTGGACCTTGAATGCGACATCAATGAAAACACTGGAATCATTCGAGCTGTGGGTGTACAGAAGAATATTAAAAATATCGTGGACAGAACACGTCACAAACAAAGAAGTTCTTGGAAGAATGAATAAAGAGATGGAAATTTTAAACACATTAAAAACAAGAAAATTAGAATATCTCGACATATTACACGTGGAGAGAAATACACCCTGCTCCAATTGATTATGCAGGGAAGAGAAGCATAGGGAGGCGTAGAATGTCATGGCTGCGCAACCTGAGAGAGTGGTACGGATGTACATCAAATGAGCTTTTCAGAGCAGCCGTCTCAAAGTCCGAATAGCTATGATGATTGCCGACCTCTGCCGCGGAGATGGCACTTGAAGAAGAATATTAGCGTTTGGCTTTTTTGGGATTTCTATAATAAAGGTTGATTGAAGCCAGTCCTGAGGTATTTGAGAGGACCTATAAATGTCATTAAAAAGATCTACCAAGGCGTCTAAATTGTCTTCACTCAACTTTGTTAGAACCTCTATGTATATGTCGTCTGGGCCTAGTGCTTTTCCCCATTTGCTCTGTTTGATTTGCCTTACAACTTCTGACTTCAATATTTTGGGGGAGGGTTCACTTTTATATTCACTTTCAGAGTTTATTCTAGTGTTGTCTGAGTATAATTGCTGTGTGTAGTTTCTCCAATGTTGAAGTAGATCTTTGGGATCAGTAATTAATTTATTGTCCTTCACAATACTGTTAAAACTGCAAGGTTTTGTATGACCTGTCACTTCTTTAATGAGTTTATGTATGTTAAAGTGGTCATGTTTTTCTTCAATTCCTCCATTTCTGCACACCTGTCTAGTAGCCACTGTTCTTTAGCTTTGCGACACTGTTTTCGTATTTGTCGGTTAATCTGCTGATGTTTGGTTCGGTCTTTGTTTTTAAATGATCTGCATTCGTCCATCATTGATAATATTTCGTCAGTCATCCAATTCTTCTTTTTGTACTTTTGGGAAGCGATCAGAGACTTCGTGGTGATTACGATAGCTTTTTTAATACAATTCCATTTGTCTTTTATACTGGCCGGTTGTTTAGATCTTGTCGTGATATCAGCTATTGCTTCATTTAACTTGAAATCATACTATTTTATCTAATAATAAAAACCAGTCATTTTTTCAAAAATAATACCGGATAATATTTAAGAACTAATTGTCAACTACAGGTTGAGGTTTTAAATCCTCCCTATAAATTCTGTTGTACGGTTTTAAGTGTACACATTCAATCAGAGAGTTTGGAGAAAATGCCGGCGGTCGAGATGGAATTATTTGTGATTCCACGTGCTTTCAATCTTCTATTAACTTATCCCGCCGTTACTCTCTGGGTTTTTGAGTGGACTGTATTAATTTAATTGTCTATGGTACCGTTCCCGTCATACAAAACTGGTACGAGTCTTATTACGAAAAATCGTGTTTTTAAGTTGTGTACGTTGATCTTGTCACATGTGTCATTCTAATTTTTAGGGCACTGTTGCCAGTTCAACGAAAATATATGAAACCAGCTAAAAGTAGGGCTGTGCGCCAGACCACCAGTTTTGAGTATTGTTTGGGAAAGTATGTGCGAATTCATTTCATAATTTTACAGTTAATATTTTTTCTGTTACGGTACTGTAATGTGATCTAATTTGGTGCTGTATTTTAAAGACCTTTTTGAAATATATTGTTTCCTGTTGTCTCGTAAAACTTAAACTGGATATCTCATTTATGATGTTGTGAATACGGAGAATTTGGCTTCTCTTTTGTATGGTTCAAAAATATACACACAAGTGTCGTGTTACCGTCACAATTAGCTAAAATTATCGGAAAGGTCGCAATACAATGGAATGATTTATTGGTACACCCTCTCGGACCACCGCTTAGAGGGTTTCATTCTTAGCTCTGACCTATCAACTTCTCAATTTTGAATTATATTGTTATTTTCTGAGAAACTATACGTCAATTCATATGAGAAGTACAATAAATAATTTAATTGGCTTGAGGATGACCATAAACTTATTAAGATTCATTCAACGTTAAAGTAATAATAATGCCACTAAATCGATAAAAAAAAATCGTCGTTCCGAATGAGGTGGGAATCAGGCTGCGTACACAAGACGTTACTCTTGTAGAGTTTTTAAGCGAAATAAAACAAAGAAGTACCGTAAGTATCGATACGTAGTAACAACTCTTGGAGAGGTTTAAAAGTCCGATCTCCAGAGGACCCCTTGCATAGTTCCAAAATTCCTTATTTACTTTAATTTGTCGATACGTTTATTTATATCGCAAATAAAACAACAACGAAGATATCGGAAATTAAGTAAAGAACGAGATACCCTTTTAGGACCAGTATCAAAAGCGTCGACTAGCGACACACCTCGAACGTTATATAGATTGGCGTCGAAGCTAGTACGAATTTTGGATAAAAGAAGCGAAATAAAAATTTGTTTTTTGAAAACTGTGTGAGAGTTATAAGAAATAGTCGATTTAAAATCGGATTCAGGAACCGGCATCATATGAAACCAGCTAAAAGTAGGGCTGTGCGCCAGACCACCAGTTTTGAGTATACTAAAAACTAAAACATTATCGAAGATTCTCGATCAGTCAGTCACATTAAATTTGTTTAAACATGCATCCTACAAAATTCTCATATTAATTTTGTAATTATTTTTCACCATCTTAATCATCCACAGAGGGATGCTTGCGCCAGATGAACGGAGAATGATGACACCTACGCTTCGATGAAGATACATTTAAATTATATTTAAGTTATTATTATACAGTTATAGTTTGTTGTTTATACAGTGTAGGAAAAATTTTATGGTCGGTATGACCTTACGTGAGATGGAGTGAGAAACAGCTGTTTAAAAAGAGAGAGGTATATTAGGTACGCCCTTTATATCGCCGAATGGAAATATTTAAAAAAGGGGAAATTCAACGTTGCCAAACTTATTGGTTTATTTGACCTGTTGTCTTTTTTTGCATTTGAACAATGTTCTATCAAGAAGATAAAATGCTCAAGATAATAAATTTGGGCGAAATTGATTTAAATGGCAGGTTACTGTTTTTTTTATTGGGAATATGCCACAAGTTTTCTTTACAATAATTGTAATATAACATTTTGATTTCCATTTCGGAAATTGTTTTATATAAATAAAATTTATTAATGTTTGTATTTTAAGTACGATTTCCGAACTAAAAATCTAAACATCAAATAATTTTCCCATTAAATAATAAACAATTAAACATGCATACAATAACGCCAAATTAAAAAATATTCATACACTAATTTATTTGGCAACGTCTAGTCTAGATAGTTGTCTGGTCAAAAGATCGAGGAACGAGAAGTAGAGGTGGGTCGTGCTAGTTTATCGTTAAGAGCGTAGGAGCAAAATTTCGGGCCAATATGCATTCATTTTTTTTCGAATCCTGAGAAAACTAATAAATATTTTTTGAAAAAATTAAACGCAGAATGAAACAATACATTATTACCGAGAGCTGAAAGTCCCTGAAAACTTCTATAATGTTTATTTTAATAAGTTATAGGGATGAAAAAAAAAAAACAAAATTTAGTGTGATTTTTAATTTCAAATATCTCATTAAAAAAACTTTTTGTTTATTCTAAGGGACCTTCGGCCCTCGGTAATAATGTAATCTTTCATTCTGCATTTAAATTTTTCAAAAATATTTGTTAGTTTTCTCAGGATTCCAAAAAATTTAAATTTTTTTGAATGCTAAAAAGCATTTAAAAATTTTAATTTTCATAAACAAGTAACTATGATTGTTTAAAAGTAGTTTCAAGTAAGATAGTATCTACATAAACAAACATAACGGCTATTATCGTTTATGTGTATATCTTTTGAAGTGAAAGAAACTACCTAATGATATATTTATTATAACTTGAAAAATAAACTAAACAATCATCATCATCATATAACGGGGGTCCTACGGCGATTGCCGCTTCCCGCATTTCAGCCTCCATCTTTTCCTATCTCCCCAATCTCCCTCTTCTAAGCCTCTAGATTGCATTGTTTTTGTAATTTCTCTTCTCCAGGAATTTGGTGGTCTTCCCCTTTTCCTTCTTTCTGGCGGAAACATACATTAAGGCTTTCTTTGGCCACCGCTCCTCCTCCATTCTCATCACGTGACCATACCATTGTAATTGCCTTCCTTGTATTCTATCTGAAAGAGTATCTCTAATTCCTGTACGGTTTCGTATTTCCTCATTCCTGATTCTTTCCATTCTCGATACTCGACATGACCTTCTAAGATAATCCATTTCCACAACGTCTACTTTATCTCGTTCATTCTTTGTCATCGTCCAACATTCGGCACCATATGTGGTAATTGGTTCTACAATTGCTCTGTATACGCGAAGTTTGGTATGCATCTTTATTTTATTAGACCACAGTAATGAATTCAGTATTCGGATGCATTTTTTCCCTTTGTTTTATTCGGTTTTGTACATCTATCTTAACTCTGCCATCTGCTGATATAATGCTTCCTAGATATTTATACTGGTTGCAGCCTTTTATGACTGCGTTTTCAAGCCTCAGATCTGTGGTATTTCCTCCAATTTTTAAATATTCCGTTTTAAATATTCTGTTCTAAACTAAACAATACAAATAGTAAATCGGACTTACATTTACATTACACGTTATTATTAAATCGCGAATAGTCTAAATTGACATAAAAACATAAGTTTTTCTACTTTACTTCTTGTTAACCGTATTCTTTTTTATTTAAATTAAACCAGATTTTGAACATGTGTTCACATTTACAATACTTTATGAATATAGTGTTTAAGTTAGGATATACATGGCGATGGTTTTTCCACAGTTGTAATGGACTCTCGATGCAGGTGTACGTGTAGATGAGTCATCTCCAATTAATTGATCAAAAATACACCATGGACTTAAGTCATATTTATTGGTTTCTTTTTCTTGTACTGGTTGATTTTCAATAGTACAATCTTCTTGTTCGTTAATTATAGAAGTAACCAGCTTCTTAACTTTTTGTTTTGTTCTGCACTTTAAATCGTGAATCCATAGATGTACATAATGACAATGTGCCACTTGTTCTATCCCTCTAAATCTTTTTGCTAAACCCGATATTATTATTTGTAATAATATCGGGTAAATTTGTATAATCGGTAAATTTGTAATAATTGTACTATGTCGGATACTATGGATGTAAGTATGCCGTTTGCTAAAATTTTATTGCAAGATTCTTACAGGCAGCGTACCATAACAATCACTGAACTAGCATTCAAGTATTTTTGGTCACTCATTGTACTTGTTATTTCTTTAAACGGCCGTAAAATTTGGGAAAGTTGAGAACAAATAATCCAGTGTTCTTTATTTAGATTAGGTTTAAGTCTAAGTCTGTATATTTAATACCAATGTGGAACGGGTTGCCTCTTCTAACTCGGTCATTCTTTTTAACATGTAATAGGTGAAGTTCTACCTAGTTTCCACGTCTTGGATTGGCCGTTTGGGAACTGTGTTCTGTTGTAATTAATACTTTAAAGCCTTTCTGAAGATAAGGTACTTTTTTGAAATGTGTTTTTTTGCAGAATTGTCGAAAAAAGGACTTTTTATTTTATCTATTTGTACACGACAGCATTTAAGTGCGTCCCCCACCAATAAATTTAATCATCATCATAAATACAATCATCATAAAACAAAACATATTTAATAGCTTTGACCATATTTTAGGAATTATCAGTTACTGCAAAATTTACTTTTCGTTTTAGACCCGACTGATTAATAATTTCAGTAATCGCTGTTTTCTGGATTATGGTTTCCAGAAAAATGGCAGCAGCCTAATAAAAAGTTTTGAATACTAAATTTTCGGTTAAATATTGTCCTGTTAATGCGAAGTAACTCTCAGTTACTCCAGATGTCCAGAGGTCAGTAGTAATACAGATATTTTCTACTTCTTTAACAACTTGCGATCTAATAATTTGCTCACTTTTGACATAACATTCCTGAAGTAATGAACCTGACAAAGTTTTTCTTGTTGGCGGTTTATATCCAGGAATCCACCCTGCAAACTTTTTAAAAGCTGGTTCTTTAACTATGGAAAACGGATGAAACGAAAAGTTTAGTAAATCTTGAAAATCAATCAGTCCAGAAAAAGAAACTGATAAAGATGACTTAAGTCCATGGTGTATTTTTGATGAATTAATTGGACATGACTCATCTAAACATACACCTGTATCGAGAGGTATAAAAGAAGTCGACATGTCTGATTGATATAGACAATTGTCTGATGATATATTACTCACAAACAATTTCGAACGGAGATTGGAACTGTCCATTACCGTGGTGAAAAAAACCATCGCCATGTATATCGTAACTTAACCACTATATTCATAAAATGTTGTAGTATTGTAACAAAATCTTTTCCTTATGGTGGAAAGTAGAAAAACTTATGTTTTTAAATGTCAATTTAGACGATTCGCGATTTAATAATGTGTAATGTAAATGTAACTATTTAAGTACCATTTGTATTATTTAATTTATTTTTCAAGTTACAATAAATATATCCTTCGTTAGGTTCTTTTATTTCAATACTTATACACATAAACGATAATAGCTAATATGTTTGTGTACTCGCTAATTTGAATACTGGTAAACAATCAACTAGTTACAGTTTACGAAAAACGGTTCCGATCAAAATTAAAAAAACGAGAAGACCCACCTCTAGTTTTTTAGGTATATTAGGATCGGAACCAGAGAATATCTGATCGGAACTAATCGTCTCACTAATGGGCAATGGCCAATGAGTATTAAAAGGATTTTAGGAGGGGAGACGAGGGGAAATATGATTGTTATCTTTGTCTAATTCGTTGAAATATGATTTTATATCTGCGTTAGATATCCTGTTAAATTTTACCATACCGACCTTAAAATTTTACCTACACTGTAGTGTTTGTTTAATAAAATGATGTGAAATTCTCAAAATCTTTCACCACAAGCTCTTCCTCCACAATCCTGTAATAATAAAAATTTTAATTGTAGTTACCTATAATGTAGATAATTATGTAAACTTGGCATATTTTTAATGAGGAACATTCGGTCCATGTAAATACTATTTCCTGCCAAGGGTGACATTTTTTCAGTGACATGTTTCTTAACAAAATTAAGAATTTCGCTCTCGGCTTGTTCCAGTTGGGTCTTAGAATTGAGACAAGCTGCAGTCAAACCTGTCTAAAAAACAAATGGTTATAGTTTATGACGTGTCCTGAAAAAATGTTAAAAAAATACAAAATATTTATTTCTTAAATCAAAGAAAAGGAAAAGCCGAACGATCAGTTGTTCAACAGGTCCTCGAAGACACTTTGTCTCAGGACCATGTAACCTTTGTAGGGTCATACGTCGCCATTTTACCAATACCAACGGTAATTTGAACATGGTAATTTGTAATAATATATAATGTAACACAACTATAAATTAACAACATTTAACGGGTTTTTACCCATATATTTTAGTGGCTCATAGCATGTATACTTCGTTACACTGACTATGGAATTAACATTCCGAAAACGTTCTGTAATGTAATTGTGATATAGCCCGTTTGGGTATTTTATTATATACCTTTTATAAAGGATTTAAAATATAGTATTTTAATAATTTTTTTTCAGGTATAACGGAACTGATATGAGGAATTCTACAAAAATTCGCACCTTAACTGGAGCCAAATATGGTGATATTGCAATTTGCTTCCCGTACCCCGCAGTAACAATTTTTTTCTGTAGGTTGATACCAAAAAACATGTTTTCAAGTGCGAGCCTCAAAAAAAAGGCAACTTTAAGTTTTTTCCAACAAAAAACTGATTTGTTCGCTAAAGCTATTTCATTCTTCTAGCGATCTGCCTCGAAAAACGAGTGAAAGAGACTTACATACTTGGAGCACACGTACATATCAGGTACCAATCGCTTTGTCTTGGTCTCCAGAAGGAACTCTGACCCTTTGAAGAGCCAAGAAACACCTGCTCAAAGAGTGGCAAACGGTTATTCAGTACCTAAAAACGACGTTTTTTTTCATTTTTTCGCAATTTTATCCGAAAATAGATTAAAAGATACCTCTATAGTTGGAGCACACATACATATTAGGTACCATTCGCTTCGTCTTGATCCCCAGAATGAATTCTAACTCTTTGAAGGGCCAAGAAACACCTGATCAAAGCGTGGCAAGCGGTTATTCAGTCACTAAAATCGACGTTTTTTTCATTTTTTTCGCAATTTTATCCGAAAATAGATTAAAAGATACCTCTATAATTGGAGCACACATGCATATTAGGTACCAATCGCTTTGTCTTGGCCCCCAGAATGAACTCTGACCCTTTGAAAAACAAAAAAAAAGGCTCAAAGCGTGGCAAACGGTTATTCAGTCCCTAAAATCGACGTTTTTTTTCATTTTTTCCCAATTTTACAAAACTTAACCAGCAAGTCTTGCAGAGCTAAGACAACAAATTATCAATGAATCTCGAATAATTTCTAGACAATCATGAAAAATGTGGTAGACGCATTCTACCCTCGATTAGGGTACTGTCAACTCAAATTATGCACATTTTAAACACTTAATAACGTAACTATTATGATAAAAAATGTTCGTATCTATCAATTGTTACGTTTTAATGTAGTTGAAAATAGTTAGTATTAAAAAATTTATTGAAACAATTAGGCGTTGGCAGACTTCTGTTTTATGTATTCAAGATCATCCAGACTACATAAAATCATAAGTGTTACATATGGTTGAACTCATACTGAATAGGAGATTCCAATAATGACTGAATATACAGGGTGATACATTTAAAAAACCAAAGTACCAGTAATATAAGAGAAACGGCAAATCTTACAACATTGCAAATATCAAATATGGAATCTTCATATCTCAAAATAGGTGTATCTTAAATTTTGTACAATTATGACTAGCAATTTACGAGATAATTGGCCGTTTCCAGACTTTTGGGCCACTTTGTATATAATAAACCATACCTTCTTATGTTGTTTCGTGCACCAAGCATCCATTTTATTAAGTACACTCTCAGGTTGATGTATTATAATATCTGGTCCTTCAGCAATTATATTTAAATCTGCGTCTGTTACAAGACAGGCAATTTCCATTATTTTGTCCTGGTCTACATTTAAACCTGTCATCTAAAACAAATATGTAAACGGGATAAATTATAATTTTGTCGCAATGAAAAATTTTACAACTTATAATATAATAATTAAGAGATTAATTAAGATATTGCTGTCTGTAGATAAATTGCCTCTAGTTAGTTTAACTGATTCAATTATAAATGAGAAATAAGAAAAAAATAATAAAAGCATACACAAAATTACATACATATAAAAAATAAAATATTAATGATAACAAAACAAGAACAAGAATGAAGACAGGAAGAAAAAAAACTAAAAAACACTTTAAGAAAATAAACTTTTGGTTTCTGTGTTGATTCTGAGTTGATTCCAATTCGCATTCTCAAACGACAGTGCTGCCAAAATAGATAACTAATAAAATAGGGATAAATGTCAAAAATTTAAATAAATTAGATTTTAAAACTTGTACAAATTTCATCAAATTTTAAAAACAATGAGCGATAAGAAGAAAAATAATATTGTTCAATGCCATAATGTTCTGCTCGATGTATGAAAGGTATACATCTACACTGCCTTCCAAAGTACAAGAGATTACGAAAAAACTGGCAAGTAGCTCTTCCTATTGCAAAACCTGTTACAAAAAACAAAATTTGTTTAATTTACGAATGTTTGTATTTTGAGAACGATTTGCGAAGTGGAAATTAAAACGTCAATAAACGTATTTTTATCTTTAATTGTGGCTTATTCCCATGTAAATACTAATTACTTTAAAATGCTACAAGAAAATAGCTTCAGAACAATACTGTTACGAAATTCATGAATGTATGCAGCCAGCAGTTTAAGAAATCGGATTACTTTTTTCCAGGTAAATCATATTTGATAGGAAATTTATTTAGGTAATATTGTCTCAGTTTGGTTCTTTGTTAATCATTGAAATAATGTTTTAGGAGCCATCCAAAATAGTCCAGAGTTACAAAGTGATCACTTACTGAAAATCAGCACAGAAGAGAAGGCTATCCAAGTGACTTCATCTGTATTAAATGAAGGCAAAAAAGTTACTTTCTATGATTTGATACAAACAAATCGCAAATTAAATGCATTCACAGGAATATCCACTCTAAATTTGCTGGAAAAAATTTGTGAAGCTGCTAGTTTGTTAGAAAACAAAAATTTGAAACTATTATTGCTTCAGCTAAATCAATGTATTTTTTTAGTGTTTAATAAGTTTAAGTTAAAAACTGACCTCACTTTTCTTTGCCTTTGTTATATTTGGTAACATTTAAATAGTGTATTTAGTAATATATGTCACAAAATTAAGTATTTAATAATAGTCAACATGCATATCTTAAAGGCAAAGAGACGCAAACAGCCATATATCAATTTACTCAAAATATCTTACAAGCACTAGAACAGAATTAGGCAATATTAGAGATATTTCTAGATAATCTATAATTGATTCAAATCATTCTTACCAGGAAGATCACAAAGAGTAATTTTAACAAAGGATAATATGAACATTAAATAATAAATTAAACCTATAAAATTAGGCATTTCTCAGGTCAGCATAATTGAACTGATAATTTTCATTTTGTGGATAAATGATGACGCCACTACATCCATACGAAGTAGAAAAGATTGAAGAGGAGGAGGAGATGAATGATATGCCATACTGTATTAATAGTGATAATTTTAGTCAAATTAATTATGCTGATGAGGCAACTGTTATAGTAACAGCAAATCATTTGGGAATTCTAACTAAATGATATATATATATATATATATATATATATATATTATATATATATATATATATATTATATATATATATATATATATATATATATATATATATATGTATATATATATATATATATATATATATATATATATACACTTGAGTGCAAAAAAAAACAGACTCAAAATTATTTTGCGAAAGTATGTCTCCTGTTTCAATCAAAAAAGGTGAAAATTTAAAAATATTTAGTGTACAATTATTAACCTCATTATTGAGTTTGAAAAAAGTTTTGATGTTTGGTAAATCGGGTGACGTATTACAAATAAATAATACAACACATATGACGAGAGGGGGTCATAATTTGACATATTAAAATCGACACGCACCCACTTAACACATTTGGTTAACATCGTAAGCATCAATTTTCATAGCATACATCAGTCAATTAAGTTGGCAAATTCATAACAAATGGTTACCACGTCCGTCAAAGCAGCTTAAGCAGTAGCATTATTGAGAGAAGACCTGAGCTAGAGAGCTGTGGCAAATCGACCAAATTTAAGCCAATCTGCTACGTCTCGACTGTATCGTCGGTACCAAGATACTGGTGATTATGTCCGCCGACAAAGAGGAGGTCGCAAACGAATAATAACAGAGAGAGATGATCGATTTCTTGTATCTAAATCTCTAAGAAATCGACATTTGACTGGTGCTAATCTCAAAGAAGAGCTTAGAGAGGTCCGAGGTGTGGTTACCAACGTTTGGACAGTCAGAAGGAGACTGAAAGTAGCCAGCATGACACCAAAAAGGGCAGTTACTGGTCCCAAGCTAACTGCAGCCCAGAAGCATAAAATTTGTTCGCGAACATCTGGATTGGGACGACTATCAATGTAAAATGAAAGTAGGATCTGCCTTCATAGCAATGACAAGAGGCGTCGAGTCTATAGAAGGCCAGGGGAACGATTTGCTCAATGTTGTATACGAGAAATTGTGTCATATGGAGGCGGTTCTTGTATGTTTTGGGCAGGCATTTTCATGGATGGGAAAACCGCGCTGGTTTTCGTGCCTGGTGGAGGGCGTGGAGGGGGTTTAACGGCGGATCGTTACATCAGAGATATTTTGTAGGAACATGTGGTTCCATACGCGGGATTTATTGGTAATGCCTTTATTTTATTACATGATAATGCACGATGTCATACCGCACGAGTCACCACCACCTATCTGACTAAGATCGGTATACCTACAAAAAATTGGCCTGCGTTGAGTCCGAACATAAATCCAATAGAGCATGTTTGGGATGAGCTTAAACGAAGGGCCCGGAGCAGAAATCATACACCAAGGAGCATAATAGAATTGAGAGCTGCGCTTAAGGATGAATGGGAAGCAATGCCTTAAGAATTTATTAGAAAAGTCATATGATCCATGCAAAATCGATTGTAAAGTGTAATTAGGAATAGGGGTGGTAATACCAGATACTGAAAAACAAAAAAAAAACATTTTGTAACTGATGATTTCTCTGTTCATTACATCTTTCTTGGGATAGTTTTAATGATGAATATTTAAGAAACTTTATTCGTATTGCATATTGTTTTTATAATGCGTCTTCCAAATAATGAAATAGCGGTTTTTGTTAAGTTCAATAATAAAGTTACTGTAATTGTTTTGCACTCAAGTGTATATATATATATATATATATATATATATATATATATATATATATATATATATATATATTTATATATTTATATATTTATATATTTATATATTTATATATTTATATATTTATATATTTATATATTTATATATTTATATATTTATATATTTATATATTTATATATTTATATATTTATATATTTATATATTTATATATTTATATATTTATATATTTATATATTTATATATTTATATATTTATATATTTATGTATTTATATATTTATATATTTATATATTTATATATTTATATATTTATATATTTATATATTTATATATTTATATATTTATATATTTATATATTTATATATATTCAGGGATTCTGCAGTGTTCACTGCCTTCCCTCGCTCAACCGTTTCCATGTCTCTGCAGTGGCGCACCCAGGTGGGGTTTTGGGGGGTCAAACCCCCCCAGGACCCTATTCCGACACTGTAATTTACAAATTTTAAGGACTTAAAATGGTGGAGTTAGCATAAAAATATTTCGGTGCCCAACCAAAACCCCCCCCCCCCGGAGGACAATTCTAGGTGCGCTAGTGTCTCTCTGTTGAACCATTCTCCATCGTTTAGACCTCTCTTGCTCATGGCGTCATCTACTTCGTTCCTCCAGGATCTTCAGCATCATCCTCTTTTCCTCCTTCCTATGGGGCTCCATTCGGTTATTCTCTTTATCCATCTGCTGTCGCTAGTTCTTCTTACATGTCCATACCACTTTAGTCATTTTTGTTCTATATATTATGTTAGTATGTCTGTTTCTATTGATGTTCTTTGCTTTATTTCGTCATTACTTCTCCTATCCATTCTTGTTACTCAGCAGCATCTTCGCAGGAATTCCATCTATGTTGCTACTATCTTACTGCTGTTTTTCTTGTTTATAATCCAATTTTCAGCCCCATATGTCATAATACATCATACTAATGTTTTATAAAACTGTGTTTTTGTCTTCATATTTAGGTGCCTATCCCACCATACTGAGTTAAGTTGTTGGATGGCTGTTCTTGTTTATCCTAATCTTTTCGTAATGAATCTAACTAAATGAATTTGTCGATATGTTAAAGTGGTTCCCCAGTGAAGGACTAATTAAGAACTCCAGATCAAACTTAGAATGTCCAAATAATATTCTGTTAGATGATACAAATATTGAAATTGGCACTAAAACCACATTTTTAGTCACATACAGCAACTTAATAAAAGTTTGAATTCAGTATGCTATACTTAAAGAGTATTATCATAATATTTAAATCCAGATGACCTAAAAACAAATTCATTTTTCAAACTTTGAGTTTTTGGTGTATTATAGGGCAATTTTTCATGATGGAAGCAATAAAACTTGATATACTCGGTTCGCTAATGCCAGTCCGAACTGTCTAGTGATTTTAGTAATTATGTTTTTACGACGTTACTTACTTTTTGACAGACTAGAAGTGACTGGAAATTATTATACAACCAAGTACACATGCTCATAGCGCATTTCATTAGAGTATTTCGTCGACCTCTTTTGCAAACTTATACTATGAATTAGAAATTTATAGCATGTATATAGAATGTAAGTTTCTATTATATATAAAAAATATGTTTTATAAAAAAAGTTACGGTAATTTTGTTTATATCGTTAGGTTGCGCCAAATGTAGGCAACCAACTTAAACTTTTTGTTAGCATTTAGCTGGAGTTTCTTGAGAATATATTTAATATTTTCCAGTTAATTTATTATTATTTTTTAAACTGACAATAATAATGCTGAATAAGCAATATTTCAAATGATATCTAATCACAGGACGTACTTAATATTGTGTTATAAAGTAGGTTAGATAAAAAATATCATAATATTCATATTATAATTCAAAAATATCATTCATCAAAAATATAATTAAAACAAATCATAATCTTCTATTATTCCTATTAGAAACTAGTTATGGACGGTCCGGGATTTTACCTTTTTTATCTAACATACTTTATTATGAGGATTTTACAATAACACAATATTAAGTACGATTTGAAATATTGCTTATTCAGCATTAATATCATCACTTTTAAAAAATAATAAATTAACTGGAAAATAATAAATGTTTAATAAAAATATTCTCAAGAAACTCCAGCTAAATCCTAAGGAAAAGTTTAAGTTGGTTGCCTACATTTGCAGCAACTTAACGGTATAAACTAAATTACTGTAACTTTTATCACAGCTTTTATTTAATTTTTGACGCTATGTCAAACTGAACTGGATGTTAACTGAAATGTTTTTGTTATTAAGAACATATTTACATAATTTTATAAATATATTTTAATGATCCACCTACGCCGAATGGGCAAATAATTAAACAAAAATGGTTGGTGTTTTGAATAAATCTTTGTGCAGTTTGATTACCTCGTAATTTAACAGCATCCGTACTCATTCAAAAATATTAACTTTTAAAGAATATTTATCATATTTATATTTATTCAAGAAAAACTTACCAGCGCATTATCTGATAGAACAAATGGAAAACTTTGACTATCTCTAATAATAAAATTCAAAATAGAACTAACTAATTAACTAAATAGAACTAACAAAGAATTAAACAAAAATAATGGAACAATAAAACTATATTAGCTAAAATAAACAATGCGAATAATACAAATATTTACTACAATATGTTCAATTGTAACAACTCAAATATTATATTTTAAATATACAGGGAAATGTTATGGGTTTAGTATACACTTCCACTATTTGGAATAATTCTTCTTTTTTTAAAGGAAGAAGTCTGCAATAGTAGTATATTTGAGCTATTAATACTGAGAAGTAGGAATTTTTGTGTTTAGGTTTCCGACAATGAATCTGTCAAAATATGCCCGAGCTAAGCGAATGGAGAATAAAATACATTTTGGTCAGAAATGATCAATAAATATCAGTAATGCTGATAAAAATAACATCCTGGGTTGACAGATAATAGTATAAAAGACCTGGTTTCAGGTAACAATGGTTTACTTGACGTACAAGGTCTTAACAATGGGCCAAGTCAGATAAATTTAATAATATTTATGACCGCACTAATTGAAGTCAACCATTTTCTGCTATACAAACTTTACCAGCTTTTCAAAATTTGGTGTTTAAATTCTTTATAAAAATGGGAGACAACAAAACAAGTTCAAAAAATAATGAAAGCACAAGAAGATTTATATACTGAGAAAATTGGCGATAGATGCAGTAGTCCATAAAGCATATTACTGAGAAAAAATTAATTAGACTATAATAAAAATAAATAGTAAAATAAATCAGTGCTTACATGTCTGATCAACTTAAAAACAATCTTCAACAGAGTAATACTCAATCTGGAATTCATAGTTTATATACTTAATAGAAAACTATTGAAAACATCTACCAAAACAACAAGGTAAAAGTCTGAATAGATGAACAACTTATGGAACATATAGACATTGGCAAAAAAATAAGAAAGGAGGAATCAAATGAATAAGCCATATGCTCTTCAATTTAATCATAGATTAAGTTCAACAACTGAAGAGAATATAGAATCAATAAAAAAAATTTAAATACTGAAAATATTATATAGGCGAGAGAATATTCACAAATTATGGAGTAATGGAAATAAAATACTTTGGAATTACACTGTTAAGCTATGGTGACCTGAAGAGAGAGGTAAACGATTATGTATAAACAGGAGAATGAACTGGCAAAATACTATAATAACATTATAAGATACAGTCAAGAATTTGTAAATCCAGTAAACAACCAATGACATAATATGCATTAGAGACAAGACACAACCACAACACAAAGACTATTGGAAATAGTTAAGATGAGAATACTGATAACAATTACACAAATACACTGAGAAACCCAAAGTGAAAACTTCAGAATGTAACATACAGGATAGAAATGAGTGAATACTAAACAAAAATAAGAATTTAATAATCAAGAAAGTTGAATGGAGAAGATCAGAGTCGTTAAAGTACCAAAGAGATAAATCATCAAAGGATAGGAGTATTAACTGACCACACAAAAGATAAAGTGAGAACCTTCCATGGCAGTATCAACTTGCCAAGGAATAGGCATAATTGCTGACTGAAAGAAAAAGGGAAGATAGAATCAAACTTTATATCAAGTATACTAGTTTAGTTTATATCAAGTATACTAATTACATATTTTTGCTGAGCTTCCATTACAACAATCACTATTTAACAAAGATAAGGGATGATTACATTATTCCTATTAGGATTTTTTTATGTTAATAAGATTTATGGTAAAGTGTGTCATTTAAATTTAACAACAAAAAATAACAGATATATAATTAACAATCATTCAACTTACTTCCATATCGACCCATACTATTCTATTAACTTCTAAATCTAACATTGGTGGAGTGATATTGACCATGGCTGAAATAATATAACTTATAATAGAACAGCTGCTTTATTGTATATGAATTTATTACCAGAATGGAACGTCTTTGAATATTTTACTAACTGTTTTTGTACAATCTTAAACATGAGTATTATTTAAAATAGATAAAATTAAACTGGAATTTGAAATTAAATATTTAAGTGGCGCGTTTTTATTTATCTTAGAATTAGGTTAGGTTATTAACATGCTTTTACAAGGACATTATTAAACGTCATCGCGCTTTTACCAATCAAGAATCGTGTGAAGATAGTAAACATTCAGACATTGGCCATAGAATAAACAATAGACGGAACATGCAAAGGGACAAAAGACACATAGCCGTAGATAGAAATTAATTTTAGGGGAGACATTATAACAAAATATTATTATAATATTGTTAAAGATTATGGTAGCAATTAATGTAAAACGCACATTAAACATATATTGAAATGTGGTGATTAATAGTTACGTCAAAAATATAATTTAATAGCTCTTACGAATTCAAGGCATTGTCTAATTATGATAAGTAGTCCTAAAGCAGTATAAAAAAAGTGGCATAGTAAAGTACAATAGCAACGGCAAAGTCAAGTACAATAAACTTCCTTTAATCCGGTACCTACGTTAGGAACTTTCTACATGCCGGGTTATCAAATATCTGATTAATATCTATTTATCTTTATAACTTATAAAGATGAATATCGGGAGTAGTTGGTAGAAGTAGAAATTAAACTACAGACTTTAAAACTATGTTATAGCATATAACGTCAGTATTAAATGTTGAACAGGTATATTAAGTACAATAAAAAATGTAAAAGGACTAAAATATAAAATTCTTGATTGTAGGAAGTTTATAAACATCTTTTAGATTTTTTATATATTGTACATGTACAATGTACAGACATTAAGAATTAAGAGTTAAGTAATCATATTGTTTTAATTAATGTTGACAGATTTGTATACTTGGACTTCCTAATAACCAACAATGGCGATTGCTCCTCAGCAATCAAGCGTAGACTAACAATACCCCGAACCGCAACAGCTAAATTGATTAAAATATAGAAATACTGAGCAATAACAAGGAATACTAAGCTTAGCTAGTTATAAGCTTACCCTAGAAGGCTAACGTAATCAATTCAATAAGTAAAGGGGGATTCAAAGAATAATAGAGGATGAGGACGTGGTGCTTCTAAGATTTTGGTTTAGAGGAACTTGTTTGAAAGTCCCTGCCTATCCTGTAAAGGAGCCAAACCTAAATGGAAGGGAGAGGATGTAGAATCTCTTGAAGAGACAGCAAGGTTGGGATAAATAACAGTAGAGAATCTGAAAGCTATTCAGCTGACAACTGGAATCTATCGACTTCTACAGATCACCCACTTATCGCATACTAGTATGAGAAGATTAAAACAATGATAACAATGCCTTCTGCATGTTTTGTGACAGGCAGTTCGCAAATGACCACCGGGGAGAGCTATGGTTTCAATACGTTATGTATAATCTGTAAACATACAACGGCTGGTCTGGAGATGAACAAGAGCATTATAGTTGGAATTGTTATAAGTAGATCCTAATAACTTAGCTTTATGTTAAAAAGCTTGCAAATGTTAAAATTGGATTAATAAACTTGCATTAATTTTTGAATATTTGTTTCCTCATTATTACTCCTATATATTAGTGATGTGGTGGACCAAAAAGTACAGACAGACAGTTGATACAACTTTTTTTAAAAGTATTTAATATTAAAACCTTGTTTTTGAACCTCATGTAAAGTTGCATTAAGATGTTAATAATTCGAGTTCGACAACTGTATAGTGTTATAGTATACCTTTTGCTCTCTAGCACAGCATTCGAGAGTTTTCCATAAAATGTGAATAATACCAAATTATCAGGAGTAATCTCATCCTCCTTTTCATTCCTTGAGCCCTTCTCAGGGCGTGCTGACACTCACTTGTCAGTATTATTAGCTTGCTATTTCCATTGGCTGCGATCTTGGGCTGTATGGACGGCTTCATGTAGGGATTTTCCCACCAGAGTCTTCTTTTGGTTTGTCCATCTAGTTGGAGATCTTCCCCGATCTTCGGCCTTCCATCTTTCCTTCTACTACCAAAAGTTCTATGGTCTCCGTTCTTCTAGCTATATTTCCGAAGTAAATTAGGCATGTTCGGGTTACTTTTTTGTATGTTCTTTCCAAGGTACGCGTAAGATTCTTCTATAGACCCACATTTCGAAGTCTTCAATCTTATTATATTAATTTTTTTTAGCGTCGATATTTCAGCTGCGTATGTAGCAATGGAAAAATAAGAGATTAGCCAATCTGAGCTTAGTATTCCTTATTATTGTCGGCCTTTTCATATTTTAATCAATTTAACTGTTGCATTTCAGAGAATTGCTAGTATACGCTTGATTTCTGAGGAGCAATCGCCATTGTTAGTATCAGGGAAGCCAAGTCTACAACTCTGTCTACCATTTCGAAATTAGCCACTTGGTGTAAGTGCGGTAGAATCCTATTTGCTTTATCTATGATCATTATTTTTGTGTTTTCTGGTGTTGATCTAAAGTTCGAATTTGCTGCTAGTATAAGTGCGTCATCTGCATTTCGAAGGTTGCTGATTTTTCTGCCTTCTATAGTGATTCCCCCATAATACTATGCAGCTGTCTAGTTTCTTTCTTTGTTTTGAACAGATCTGAATATATTCCGAGTATTTTAACTTTGTCTAAGCTTTTGTTATACAGATTTTTTATTAGGTTAACTAGGTGGTTAGGTACTCCCATATTTTCCATTATACTTTAGGGGTATCCCATTTGACTGAATCAAAATCCTTTGTGTAGTCTACTAAACAGAGCAGCATTGGTATGTTGTGTTCTCTTGCTTTGTCTATTATGTCTGATGTTCAGTATCTGCTCCCGCGGTTCTTTTCCTGGTACGAATCCGCATTTTTCGTTGGCTATCACTAAAAATAGAAAGTTCTTTAGTCGTTTATTGATTATATGTAGCAGGATTTTCCTCGTATGAGAAAGAAGGACAATAGTTATGTAATTGCTACATATAGTTAATGATCCTTTTTTATGGATAGGGCGATAGGGATTAGGTTGATTCGAACCACCCATCAAGCCATTCACCTGTGTGACACTCCTAGAATACCATTGGTTGAGAGCCTTCTCTACTTCTGCTCGTAAGATTATTGGTTCTGCCTCTCTGATTGCATGTTTCTTGTGTTCTGAGACTGATGCATCTTTTGATGCGTCTTTTTCTAAGTCTGAGCAGTAATTTTTCCATGTCTCTGCAATGCCCTCTGTGTCGGTTTTTATTTCTCCATTATGGTCTTGAATTCGGGCCAAACATTTAAAAGTTCATGACTTTCTTGGCGATTTGCATAGTGCTGCCGTTCTAAACAGACATTATTTATGTAGTTGTTTTTATCTTTGTTGAACATACATTTTATTCTTCTGTTCAGTTCTACTATTTCTTGAGTGTGGCTTCTTTAGTCGAGTTCTCTTTTTGTGGTATGTTGTAGCATACATGGCAATGTTTGTTCTTTTGAGTTTTACGCGATGTGCACTCTTCTTTTATTGAATGTATCCAGCTTTTCATTTCATTCCACGTTTTATTTATATTTTATTATGTTTTATCTGGAATTCTTCTGTATTATTTACCCTTATCTGTTTTGTCTGATGTATTTCTCTAGTTATAGTCTTTATTTTAAGCAGTTTATGATCTGATCCACAGTATACTCCAGGCATAGCTTTTACATTTATTACTGAGTCTTTACATCTTTTCCGCACGAATAGGTAGTCGATTTTATTTTTATGTTCTCTATTTGGACTAGATTGTTTTCACTAACAAACTGTAGGAGACGTTCTCCTCTGTTATTTCTAATGCCCCAGCCAAATGACCCGACAATATTTGTCAAATGTGGTTAATTTTCAGTTTTTCCTTCTTCTTCTTCTTCTTCTTCAAGTTCCACTCCTATCGGAGATTGGAAATCATTCTGGCAATTATAATTTTATTGGTTACTCGCCTGAATAGTTCAATTGAACTGCATCCAAACCATTCACGGAGATTGCGTAGCCACGAGATTTTACGTCTTCCTACGCTTCTTCTACCTTTGATTTTACCCTGCATTATATTCCTTAGTAGTTCGTACTTTTCACCTCTCATGATGTGCCCCAAGTATTCCAATTTCCTGATTTTTATGGAATTTAAAACTTCGCATTGTTTTCCTAGTTGTTCGAGAACTTGTTCGTTTGTTTTGCGATCCATCCATGATATTTTTAAAATACGTCGGTAACACCACATTTCGAATGCTTCTAGGTTTTTAATGTTGGATTTTTTAAGTGTCCAAGCTTCAACTCCATACAAAAGGGTAGAGAAAATATAACATCGAAGCATTCTTATCCGGAGCGATATATTGATATCACGATTACAAAAAAGTTTTCTCATTCTATTAAAAGTTGACCGCGCAATTTCAATGCGGCATCTTATTTCTTTTGTCTGATCAGTATCTTCTGTGATCCATGCTCCAAGGTATTTGTACGAAGATATTTGTTCAATTTCTGTATTATCTAGTACTAGCTTAACTTTGATGTTTTGTGCTTTTGTAAATACCATGAACTTGGTTTTCTTCAAATTGATTTTTAGTCCATAATCGTTGCAATATATATTTAGTTGTTCAGCAAGGTGTTGCAGTTCTTCTAGTGTTCCTGCCAGAAGGACGGTGTCGTCAGCATATCTTATGTTATTAAGTGGCTCGCCGTTTATTATAAGGCCCTCACTGTTCTCGGCAAGCGCTAATTCTAAGATGGCTTCACTGTATAAATTGAATAACAAGGGTGATAAAATACACCCTTGGCGGACCCCACGGCTAATCTGGATATCCAGTTTTTCCTACCTTGGCGTTAAAGTCTCCATTAATATATATTAGTACTTTTTGTGGGATTGTCTTCAAGATTTTTTCTGTTATTGTAAACGTCGTCAATGCCTTAATCTGGGGCATCTTTTGTGGGTATATACCTATACTTGAATGACATAGAAATGACAGTAATCTCCCAGGAGACTACTAACATAACATAAACGCAATTTCCAGTGACATCAGTTACCTTAGTTCTGTATGATTCAGGAAATTGTTGAAGGAGACTTGCATTGTATAGTTAAACTTAATCGGTTTATAGTTATCGTGTAAACTTATAAATTATTTTTCTATTTTGCAGTCCAAATGTTT